GGGGGGCTGGACTCAATGATCTGCCGAGGTCCCTTCCAGTCCTAATGTCTATGAAATCTATGGAAGGAGAAAGTCCTATTTGACTCCTGTGAGTCCCCTACTGGTTACAGAGAAGACTGTCAGTGCTTGCCCTGAAAAGGCCCATGGTTGTGACGCAGCATGGGTACAGTGAGATCAACCCATTGTGGGTTAAAGGTTTGCATTATATACAGCCAAGATTGTTAATGACAAGGTATTTAGCAGGATTTGCAGGTTTGTTGGAATCTGACAGGGGCCGTGACATGAACGCTTCTTCTGTGGCCCCCATCTTTTCAGTGATACCTATTAAATGGTTTGTACCTTTTCTCCCATTTTCTGACCTTGATGTAACTGCCCACTCCAGAATGTATTGGTCACAGTATGGAGTAGCATTCAGTGTGAGAAAGGGAATATATTCTGGTCAAGCTGAGATGACTGCCACAAGGTTAAGAAGACCCAACTGAATAATGAACTGAGTCAGAAATTAATTTATGCTTCTTCCAAACTAGAGTATATGCAAAAGATGAACTTTCTGAATGCAGCCAGTTTATGTCTTTTGACAACTCAGTGATTTTCATGAGGGTAGTACTCAAACTTGTCTGTTATCAGTTCCAGCTCTTAATGCTATCAGTGATTACTGCCTTTGGCATCACATTAAAGTGGCTAGAGTGTGTACCCGTACTTTTGAAGGGAAACCTAAATAATCCCACATGTAGATCTGCTCCTGCTTTCTGGTGCCAACAATTTGACTGCACTGAACAAAGGAAAGGTCAGTGTAGCTCTGATCTCTGTGTGTGTTTCAGCAAGCCAGTTTGCTACTATGATTTTTCCATAATAGTCTTTTAGGGCTCTAAAACTCTCACTGGCCTCCTTTTTTATGGACAATTGGGTTTTGGCTGAATGACATTTTTAGCCAAAATATTCTGTTTTTACACAAACTATGCAATGTTTTATTGAGAAAAACTAACAGGTGAACACTATGACTTTGATAAGAAAACATAATTTCAGTTTAGAAATGGTATGTTGGAGTATTGCTGTAGCCCCAGTGGTCCAGGAAATATGCAACAGGCAAGGATTTTTGTGAATGATATCTTTTATTGTACCAATTGCATGTTTGGGATAGAGTGAGAGAGGCTTTCAAATTCAGTGCATTCTTCTTCAGGTCCTCTTGCAATGTAAAAATGCTGCCCTGGTGTTTCTTGAGAGTTGTGACTCTTGTGCTTTATGTCCCCATTCTGCCTCATGGACTGGGTTGCCCAGCCAGATTTTACTTATGACTGTGGAGCTCCCATGATACACTAAACAAGGGGGGAGACTACAGTGCAAAATGGGAAAGTCCAGTCAGGGAGCCTGACCCTAGAGGAGAGTGGGCATGAGGTTTCTGACCCCTACAGTTGCCATGAAGCTTTACCCTGACATTTCTGAACTGTAATTTTTCAGCCACTATCTTTTTTTTTTTTTTTTTT